GGAAGCCGCCGCGGCAGCGTTGTACCCGGGTGTGGCCGCCCCGTCCCCGTACGCACGACCAGGGCCGCCGGCCCCCGCGCCCGCCCCGTACGTGACCCCCGTGGCCCCGGCCCCCTCTCCCTACGCGGCGCCGGCACCGGCGCCTGCGGTGCCGCGGCCGAGGTACGATCCGTCGACGCGCCCGAGGACGCCTGTACCGTCCGCGGCCGGGCCGCGGAGATCGGGCAGCGGCGGCGGCAGGGCGATGGAGGGCAACATGGCGGACGCGATGGAGCACTGCAAGTTCGCCCTGCGGGCGCTGGAGAAGAAGGATGTAGACCTCGCGGTGCAGAAGCTGCACGAGGCCCTGCAGCAGCTCACATAGTTTGTTTTTGGGGAGGGGGGGATGTGAAGGCCGAAGGAGTGGGAGTGAGTGCAATAGTTGGGGGCTCGTTTTGCAGCAACTAAGACGTGGGAGTTTTAGATGAACAGTTGCAAGAAGGTTGTTTTGCTGCAGCTCACATATTGTAGCTTTTTTGGTTGTGCGGGGATGTGAGGTTATAACACGTGGGGGTGTCCGGGTGCAATAGTTGCGAAGAGGCTCTCTTTTTGGAGCACCTTATTTTTTTGGGGGGGGATAAGGCAACCAAGTAGTATGTGAAGTGTAGCTCGTTGCACCGGGAAGGATCGTGCTTGTGTTTTGGGTGTCGCGGTGGGGACAAAGGGGGGCTCGCTCTTGTTCTTTGCTGTTTTCTCCTTGTGGAGGTCGTTCTGACCTTCCTCCAACCATGACGGACTCACGCAACTATGCTGTCGCGACGTAGAGTGAAGGGTGTGTATAGTGTACGGGTGGCTTATTGCATTTACTTTGTAGCTGGTTCGCCCGATCGTTTGGCCATGAACTCTCGAGACGTAGGTGGGCACATCTCTTTTCCTAGACGATTCTCCCCCATGCCCCGTCGGCGTGGGGTGGGGGGGAAGGCGAAGACAGCGTCGACGTTCTACGTTAGGCGGAGAAGGGTGAATGGTCGGCCTTTTTTATGCCGTTATGTGCCGTTACGGAGTTGGGCGAAGAAGGTGAACTGAAGGGCTTGTATTCGCTATCGTTGGTGTGTGTTGAATGGTGGGTTTTGTTTTTCCACTCCACGCCTTTAGCGATTGAGAGGATGGATGCCATTGGCCAGAAAATCGAGCAACGGTTCTCGACCCATTGAAGAAGCGTCACATGTAGGGGCAGGCTGCATGCAACGAGAGGGCGCTCTCCCTCGCTTGCGCAGTCGGCATCCCAGAATAGTGTAGTAATGGGCTCTTCCCACCCCATTTGACACTAGACTTTGAAGTGTTTGCGCCCAGTCCTCCGAATACATCGTTAGTACATATATACTGCTGTAGCACGATCGCCTTTTTGTAATGCGCTGCATGTTGAAACGAAAAATAAAACTTGCGTGGTGCCCTGCGTGTAGGACGCCGGCTGGTGCCTCCAAGAGACATGCCGAAACATGCATACTTTCGTCGACGTTCAGAAAACAAGGGATCGATCGGGTGGTTACAAATACACCTATGCCCCGATATGTCTAATCATTGGGTAATATGCTTGCCGTCTCCTACGCGGCACTGCTGGTGTATCCGCCCTGTATCAACCGCTCGTATTTCTACTGTAGGGTGGAAAACTCCAGCAGCAACGCTTCACTCCCTGCTGTAGAAGTCCATCTACATAATACTGTATGTAGTGAATGACAGCGTAGTCTTCACCTTGTCCACAGGGAAGGCATTGTAGCCTCCTTGCACAACATGGGGTTCCCCTCCCATCCTACTCCCGTCGTCGCCTATGCACCCTCCGAACTTTCTTTGTGTATCATACCAAGAGGATACGCTGTCCTATACTACTGCTGTATAACTCCACCCCTCTGTGAATCCTAATATAAATCATCAGTGTACAGTAGCGGCTACGGTTTAAGAGAGGGTCGGTACAAGCCAATTTCACTCTCTTAAATCCGGCTTTCTGTTATATCGTGTTGGCTACGATATAAGAGAGAATTTTCTTAAACAGAATCTCACTTTAAGAGAATTCTCTCTTATATCGTAGACAAAACTGAAGGTCGTGAAACAGGGGCTCTCGCGCACTGACTACACTCGAATGCTAAAATAGGTCATAAAGAGAGCGTATCATGCATGTCACTTGCGCAGCTAGCGTTACCACGTCGGGCTACCTCCAAACACCGCTCATTCTCTTGGTTGGCAAGCACGTGGACCCAAGCACTGCTGTACGTTGTACGCTTTTGGTGGATCTGCGTTCGGAAAAATAAATCATCGTCGTGTGATGCGATGCACATTTTTGCACGTGGACACGTAAAAGGTTTTGGTTGAGTTGTTTTATAGCTGGGTTTCATAGTTGCACCTCTTCTAGAAGGACAACACGAGGCGACGAATGCACCAGCACTCAAGAACGACGCACCCGTTTACACACTGCACCTTCCTCCCACCGTACCCTCAACATATGTAACACCCTCATACCTCTCATCCCATCGATTTGAACCCCCGACAAAAACACGAGTCAACGAACAAAAAACAGCTTCACAATATCAAAACATCACTCGCCGTACAAATAACACAAACCCAAGAAACCAACGCTACCCTGGCGACCTGTCAGCCTGAACACGATCTGCGCTGCAACCGTCAAAGGAAGTCGCTCATGCACGTCTGCTTGGTTTCCCTCGAACCGTAGGCACTCATCCACGCTAGCTTAGCCTTGCGGAGGTGAAAAGACACTTCGGACATGCGGCACTTCTCGGCAGTATCCTCAAGTTCACCAAAATGATTTGCTACATTCGCGTACGGCGGCGGAGCCGGGGCCGCTGCCGCCGCCGACTGTCCCGATTGGCGTAGCTCAACCAGGTCGTCGTCCTCGTCGTCAGAGGAAAGATCCATGCCCACCAAATTCTCATCACAGAGGTCCTCTACCATCTCTGTAACGATCGCTTCGGCTACCTCCACGTTGTCCTCTACAGCCTGAAGTCATGCGCTCACGGGAGGAAAGGCAGTTGTGGCAGATGCGATGCATCTCGGAGGTGCCCTGAGGGTCCACCACACCACAGGTGCCATGGAGGTACTGCCTGCAGACTCCTCTACATTGGTGGTTTGTGAACGCCGGCGGGCCTGGCGTGTGATCGGGGACAGCCGTGCAGCGACTGCCCGCCACGCAGGGCATGGTGTCTGCAGCTGTGTGGGTGTGTGTGTCCACGTGGTTTCCACATTGTTCGATTTAAGAGAAAAATCCCAGCTGCAAAAGGAAATTTCTCTTAAATCGATTGTTATTGGTACACGCCAATTCCTCTCTCTTAAATCCGCTTTCTCTGAAATAAGTTCTCTTAAACCGTAGCCGCTACTGTATAGACTTAAAAAAAGACTCGAAATAAGTCCAGTACCCAGCCGGTTCTCCTCCACTCACTGAAAAGACTCCACCACATCCCGTTCGCCTGTGGGTATATCTCGAATGGGTAGTCCTTCTGTGCGTGTATTTTTTTATCTTTTTTCTTAATATGACACAACGAAACCATCTCTATCATAGACAAGAGTCTGAGACAGATTAGCAATGGACTCATAGCGTCAGAAAGTACCTGCATGTCTACGATTTCCCAGACAGCATAAAGGGACATCTCCCCTGCGTATTTATTTTTCCACCTATAACTACAGCAGTGGTAATAATTGTCATGCGAAAATGAACGTCTGTTACGACGGCGTGTGTGTGTGGATACAATCAAATACGAACGAACACGCGTATCCCGTGGCAATCCATTCTATACCGACTGGTCGCGACGTAGGGTCACGCCGGGGATTAAGCAATCGAATGCTCTCTCGTTTGTGCCACGAAGCTACAATGAGGCTGTCGAAGCGTCACTGGTTACGCCGCACCTTCGACGAAAAGCAACAACAGTTTGTCACGTAGGTCTCTTCAAGGAAAAGGTCTCGGCCTGAGACCTGCCGAAAGGACCCAAACCAGGGTTATAACCACCCATATTGTCTGTATAACCTTTCCACCTGTCGCTTGCATCACGTGGCGTTACGTCAAACAAGAACCTACTGGTGTGTCGATAATATTCTGAGCTTAGCTCAAAGCCAGGGACGCCATCTCGAGACACAAACCAGCTCGAGAGCCACATATATATACAGCAGTCTACTGTACAGAAGCAGCGCAGGTCGCCGTGAGTCGTCAGTGTTCGAGAGCAAAAACAGCAGGAAATTCCGAGGTGAGTTGCAAGCGACTTTTGAGCTGCTCTCACGTTGAACCCAGCGAGAGAGACGACAGCAGTACCCAGCCGTTCTTTCTCCTGCTAAGATTTCAACACATACATACATCCCGACTGCGATATATCTCGAACGAGCTTGTAGTCTTTCAGTGATTGCATGTATTCTAAAAACGTGCGCGGTCTTGCACACATACATGGACTACATATCGTTATGACTCATTCGACAGGACAAGACGCCCAAATTCTGTGCTCTCGAGAAACTAACCCTATCTTCTTCAAAAGGAGTATTTACAGCAGTAGTAGTGTCAAGGCCATCATCACGTACGTACGTGCAAACGCGCATCATAATCATTCCACAGAAAATAGATGAAGTAATTCGTCGTGTTTTTGCAAGAAAAATAACAAATAAAACGCTTTCCCACAGGGGAGACATATCGTTGCATACAGGCCGGTCGTCACACAACGCTATGAACCCCTTGCGGCATGGATGGATGTTTGCATCGCACCCCGCCTCAACAAAACTGAACGACCCAGCACACACAAAACGTTCGCCATGTTTTTGCCCTGGGGGGGGGGGGCAACCACACCTCCACCACTAATAGTCTGTCACGATGTCGTCGTGGACAGGACGAATGCCTTCCGGTGACGATCCAGCGGCAGCGTACCCAGGCGCGACCGCCCCCCACGTGGTCCCCTCTGACACGAGATCGAGCATCGGCAGCAGGGCGATGGAAGGCAAGCTGGCGGACGCGATGGAGCACTGCCGGTTTGCCATCCGGGCGCTGGAGTTTAGGGACGCGGATTCTGCGGCTCAGAAGCTGCGAGAGGCTTTGCAGAAGCTCACGTAGTGTTACTCTTTTGTTCGGGGATGGCAGCCACAACCAACCAGTGAACCGCCGAGCTCGGCCAAGTAGTAGGACTTGGTGTACCAGGAAGGAAGGGTCGTACTTGGGTTTTGGGTTCTCATGTCGTGGGTGCCCAAGGGTCTGTCTCTCTTGTTGCTTGCAGTTGTGGTCGTTCTGACCTTCCTCTGGCCAGGGCGGTTCACACGCAGCATGCCCCCGTGGCGTAGAGTGAACGGTATGTTGCGTGGGGGGGGGTATTGTATGCGTTGTACTTTGTGAGGAAGCTGATTCGATCGTGTTGCCATGAAGATATTCTAGACAAGTCTTCCCGATCCCTCGTCGGGGTGGGGTGGGGTGGGAGCACCAACGTTCTACGCAAGGCGGAGAACGGATATTCGCTCGATATTTTTTTGTTACAGGGAGGGTTGGGTGAAGGTGAATTGGAGGGCATGCATGTAGTCAGCATCAATCATTGGCGTGTCGTGACATTGGAGTGTGTCGACTGATGGGTTTTGTTCGCTGCACGCCTTGCGAAAAGAACGGATGGATACCATTGGCAAAAAAACGAATAACGGTTCTCAACTCAATGAAGCGGCACGTGGAGCGACAGGCGGTATGAGGCGAGAAGGTGACTTCCCTCTCTTCCACAGTGGGCATCGACAGAAAGTAGCGAAGTCTAACTCACGTTCCGACTCTTCCCTTGACACTAAACCTCCAAAAACATGGTTAGCACACAAACTTACGTGTGGGTTTCCGCGTATGTGACGCCGGCTGGTGCGCCCAAAAGACCCAAACGTGCAAACGTCGACGTTCAGACTTTGAGGATGACTACATAGAGACATATCCTCCACATACGGCATCATAGTATGCTTGCCGTCTCCTACGGCTCTGCAACGAGGGAATCCGCGCTCTCTCGAACACGCCCCCCCCCTCCCTCTTTCCCTGGAGGTTGCAGCCACGCACCACCATGGGTTCCCCTCCCGTCCTACCCTCCCCCGTTCTCTAAAATTAACCCGCGAGCTTTGGGTATCATACTAAAATAGAAAGGGATCACCCTACGATTGACTGAAGTTTGTGGCGTTCAGCATACTACCCCCGCGCGCCCTGTGAACCCTCTCTTCTCACGAATGCCTGGGACAAAGAACGCGCGTGGGAGTCTGCCCACAAAAAGACGGAGTTCTCCTTTCAAAGACAATGATACTCATCCGTGGGCAATAACGTCATTTCATTGTCAGCGGAGGAGCGCTGCCCATGCTAGCAACGAAAGAACGGAACCGCCTGTTCGAGAGAGAGCGAGAGAGTTCGCGTGAGAGTCCCCCCACAAACATGCACCAAGTCCCCTCATCCGCAAGGACTATACATGTGATGTTCATACGCTTGACACTTTGACGACGTCTTTTCACGGTCAACCACGGAGCGGTGCCGATACCAATATCAAACACAGACTATGCACGCACGAGACTGTCGCCTTCCCATCGGCGAGCCAGTTAGCGCGGTGGGCGCTACTCAAAGACACATGCAGGCACTCACGGCTCCCCAGATCATGGCCTTTCGAAGCGTTCTCCATTTTTTTGCCGTACTGAGACTGACGTCTTTCCTACGGCCGATGCCCACAAGGAAAGACACCCACACTACATATGTATGAATGCCCCGCTACGGTGGGCGCCTCTTCATCAGCTGTAGCTAATCAACGTGGGTGCCACACCTTACAGACAATACACCCACGCAATTACACTCACAACCCTGGGCGGCCTGTCTGACCTACCCCCCTCCCCACCACAAGACTAGCAATCTAGTGACGTGCTTGTGCGCAAGCCGCCCGCCATTTCATCAGCAAAGAGGCTGGAGGCGCTTTTTTTCGTGGCTCCTCCGGCTCTTCTATTCGGCAGGACCATCAGGAGCGCAACTCGCAATCCACCACAACAGAGGGCTCAACTTCTTCTCTAACTTCTTCTCCGACATCTCGGACATCGCCCTCTCGCGGAAAAAAAACGCCAGTCGGTCGCGTCAGACGTCGCATGAAAAATCCAGGACCAACCATGGCACAAAAACCCAGGATTTCATGCCCGGCTGGTGGTTCTCAGTGCAACAACCTCCGCGCAGCATCTGAACAGCAAGCATGCTATACTACAGTACAGAAGAACCGATACATATTTTTCCCTTTGTCCCCTCTGAGTACCACTTGCTTACGGGAGGGTGGCCTCCAAGATCCTTGATCGTTTTTTTCAGATGGATTTGTCCTTGGCCTTTCCGGCCGCGTTGAAGGCGAGCGGGCTGGTGCCGTCCGCCCCGCAGATTACGGGACCGCTGCCACCGCCGCCCTTGCCGGTGTAGGAAGGCAGTCCCTCAAACAGGCGTCCGGCAGGACACGTCGCGGGTCCTAGGTCCTCGATCTTGTACCTGCCCGTGTTGTATTTGTCCGGCGTTTGTCGGAGACCGTTCGTCGCAGGCGTGAGAGGGAGGAGGGGGGGGGGGGTACTCTGGGGGGGGGCTTACTCATGTAAACGCATGCCGTAGTCATTAGGCCATCGACCTCACATCCCTACAATGCCGGGACGAAGCGTTATGCCGGATTTTCGCCGGCCCAGGCTATCACATTACAAGGATGAACCAGACGCTGGTAGTGTCATCATTGCTAGACGGTCCCTATTTACCAAGCCCCGGGAGGGGGCGCATCATTGGGATTCGCCCACCAGGCACGAGAGGGACCAATCCACAAGCACCGTGGGGGGTTCGGCGAGTCGCATCGAGGGCGAGATATTTAGCTGCCCGCGCTGCGGATCGACCGACGGTGAGGCGGGCTCCGACAACTTCGAGCACAATCTCCCTCGCAATCAAGTGACGGAGAGAGGAGGAGGGGTATGATCACGAACGGGATCGGAGGAAAAGAGGTACACAAAGAAGGGGAGGCGAAGAAAAAAGGTACAAAAAGGAACGCTCCCGGCCTCTAGGCATGTTCGGACGTTTTCGTATGACGACAGGCTTGCCGCCCCCTTGAACTACAAGTCTTCCCTTCTCATTCTCTTGCCATACTCAAAAGTACAAAGGACAACGTCAAAACTTCACACGGAGACGAGGGCCATAATCGACGGCCGCTCCCACGTACGCGGCCGAACGAATGAACGAGCTGTCCGGTACAACGAACGCGGTACATCAGTAAAAGTCATTGCCAAACAACACAACAAGCGGAAAAAAATTAAGCACGCGTGATTGATGTGGGACGGATCTCTCTCCTGGCTGGCTCGCTTACCCGTCTCGGTAGTACAAACAGCCCAGCTGAACGTCGTGGAATGGGTCATAAACCGGCTTCACGAGGACATCGGAAGAGCTTTCTGGGACACAACAAGGGCGTCCGGCACAGGGGGCGGGCAGAAATTAATGGAGACGTGTACCCTGAGCGCAAATGCTTTTTTGCGAGACGAGAGAGATCTATCTCGTTTTCTAGTGAAAATTCAGTGGCGGTCCCTCGGTAGTGCCTGCATGTGCCCGCCAGATTCAACGGCACAATACCAGGCGGCACTCGCCACCACCCAGAGAACGAGACAACTTCAACGTTCAGTCTCTCGTCCTGTGGTTTCACCGGTACTATCTATGCATACCGAGCACTTGGCACTACGAGTCAACCGGCACTATTGAGGTTCCCCCCCCTGTTTTCACCATCATGCCGCTTTTGATGAAAACTCACCACCCTCTGCGACGCCCGAGAGGGGAGTGCGCCGGACGGCCATGAAGTCGGGGCGGGGCGGCAGCAAGAAGCGGATGAACAACGCGCGCATCCACAGGCTGCCCTTCATGAACCACTGCAGGAGGGTCGGCGCCTGTGAGCAAACAATCAAAATGGAGAGTGGACCTTGGGCATGCTTTTATAATTTTTCTCGACCACCTCGACACAACCCCTCGACATCTTTGAGTCAGCCCAAGATCAACCGCGATCGGAAGTTACTCATGAACGCCGTCGACCGATCCTTCGTGGACGACTCGATCAACACGTCAATACCGTAGGTGACAAAAGGTATCACATCCCCTGGGCCGATTTTCGAAGCTCGATTGCTACACAGCAGAAAGAGTACTGGCGCCGACAATGGCGGAGTTGGAACCGCCTCGTCGAGAGCTTTCCGAAAACGTATCGTTTGGAATGTACACCGTGGTGGAAGTAGCTCTGAGTATCGGTTCAGGGGGTGTGATATCTTCTGTCGCCTACGGTACCACCCCCCCCCCCCCAACTGAACGCGACGTACGCCATAGAAAACCTTCCTCCCCGGTGGCTACAACGACAGACGAGGACGGACTACTCTTATGGCGCGGGCTCTCATCCCCTCTCCCCCTCACGGCGCCTCGAACGCATCCCGACTGAAAAACGCCTCTTAGTCCAGACACCCACCCGTGTCTCCCCCCTTCTGACCAGGGAGGGGGCAGGCAGACCCTAACCGCAACCCTAACCCCCAACATAGCCGATTCTATACTTTATCCAGCATGTTTGCTTACTCTACCTAGAAAAACCTGCGTAGACTACTGCCGCCCCCCAAGTGAGCACCCAAAAAAAACTACCCACCGTAGGGAAGCCAAAGGCCTTCAGCAGGGGCGGGTCTATTAGCGCGTACACGCCCCAGCGAGCGGCCGATTGCAAAGCCTTGGAGGGCACGAGAGAGACGAAGAGGTCGACCGTCACGCCGGCGATGGCGGCGTTGCTGGCGGCGAACCTGAAGTGCTCCTTCTGTTAGTAGGGTTGGGGGTTGGGGGTTGGGGTCGGGGTTGGTTTTTCGGCGGCGCTTGTTGTTGTCGTTGCTTGTTGCTGCTGTTGTTGTTGTCGGGGTTAACCCTAACCCTAGCCCTTCGTCGCTTGTTGCTAGACTTGTTGATATCGGTTCTCTCAGGTTTGTTCTCATCGAGCACAGCAGTGTAGTCGCCGTGGTCACTAACCGGCCAAAACCCAAGGGGTAAAGGCGCAAGCTCCCCGCGACACCAAGAAATCCCCCATGTAAGCGGGCAGTAGCAGCCAGAACTCACTACTACTACAAACCACGACCGACCGCAAACAAATCACACACACCCTAAAACAAAAACAACGAATCACTTCAACAACACAACCAACGAGAACCAACTCACAACGACGACACTCCTTATCAAGAGCTTCACGCACCGCGTAGGCCGCCTGAAAGTCGTCGGCGTCCTGCCACGTCTTCCAGGAGTCTACGCCCTTGATGCCCATGCGCCTCCCCATCTCCCCGTAGTGTGCCAACAGCGCCTCCGTCTCCAAATCCGTGCAGCGTCGCCACCCGTACCTGGCAACGAGAGATGGGACAGACACATGTGGGGGAGGGGAGGTTGTGAGTGTGAGAGAAGTGGACGTGGGTGGATAGACGGTTGAACAGAGGGAAGGAGAGGGAGAGGGAGAGAGGGGGGGGGATATATATATATATATATATAAGTGACAGAGAGCGTGGGTGAGAGGGAGCACGAAAAAGAGCACATGCCAGAGGGGTGGGAGGGAGCGGGGAACGAAGAGAGCAAAACAACAGGATCGGTCTGTGGTTCTTACTATACGGTTGTTTACAACAAAAAAATTGAACTCACGGATACAGAAAGCGCAGACTAGCGCCGTGCTGTATTCAAGAGCCACGGGGGTTCATATACGAAGCTCGGTGAGTTCTAAATACGCACGATTTCCCAAAAACGAGCACACCCCCCCCCCCCTCCTAGCTGCCAAGTCACCTGTTGATCCACAGAGCCCGCGCGGTGACGAATTGCGAGAGCGTGAAGAGCATGTCGGCGTTGCTGATCTCCTTGGCGTACATGGAGTGGATAGCGTTGAGCCGGCCCATGGCCGTCCTGCCCCGGTCTCCGTCCTTCCCGCTCTCGAGGTACTCCCGAAGGATGAAGTCCGTGTCATCGTACCTGTAAAACGTTGTGCGGCTACGTATTATTCTCCGTTGTTGCTGCTATTTTCTGTGGTTGTCGTCGTTGCTTGTCGCGGTCGTATCAGGGCCACATACTCCCCCGTTGTTCCTGCTATTTTCTGTCGTCGTCGTCGTTATTGCTGTTATGTGTTGTCGCTGTCGTATCAAGGCTCTACCGGCAATGAACCCATACGGTCGAGCGCACGCCCCACTTCCATACGTCCATATGCCCCCAGTCTGCCAAAACGACACGACCCTCTCTTCCGCCATTTTAAGCCATAAATGGGAAAGACATGGTTCCAAGGACAATGTTGAGACCCCAGCACGAGAATTTCCCCTAGTCGCGATGGTGCGACAGGGAAGAAACCAAGCCAAAAACACCGCAGGCGGAGGGACTGCTAGTGGTCGTCCATTTCCCACCTCTTGCCGACGTGTTTCCGAAACTCGCCCGTCTTGTCAAGCAGCTTCGAGATGGAGGGCACGCCGTAGGTCGCGAAAAGTGCAAACTCTAGCGACTTCGAAAGTTGTCATTCGGGAGGGAGGGCGTAGCAGTGGCAACGGCGAGGGAAGAGGTGTAATCATACCCGTGCATGCCGCAGTCGTCAGACCATTGCCCTCGCATTCCTACAAAGCCGGGACGGAGCACGCCGCGTGTTCGCCGGATCAGGATGGCACATCGGGGGGGGGGGGGGTACTCCAATCAATTCTGTTTTCAAGGTATGTGCGTGAGAGGGAGACGTTGGATCTCACGACGCCGTTGCCTCCTCGCGAGGAGAAAGATTCACCCAGGTTGCAACTCCCCGCAAATAAGTGACCTTTCATTCATACAAGGCATCGCCTCAGCGGCCGCCACACCATGCTCCCCCACTCCTACCTCCTTGCTGTATTTTCTTCCAGATTCGCTATTGCTGTGGTTTCGGCAATAAAAGATCTCGCTCTCACTTCCACCCGATTGTATCTGCACCCGCGCAAGATCCGTACCGAACTTTCGGGGTCGCCCGCCAATCCAAAGGATATTTTATGTGAGAAAGGCATAAAAACTACCTGCCCCCTACTACCCCCTACCCCCGCCCGTAAAAAAGAAGGCCTCACCTTGGTCATCAGGAAGGGGAATTCCAACTGGACCATTTGACGAACCACTTCGGAGCAGTCCTCCTTGGCGTCCAGGCTCTTACGCAGCCGGCGGATCCTGCACAAAACGAAAAACAAACGCGTGCCACCGCGCGTATGTATGCATGCATGCTTCCGTCTTCTTCCAAGACTGGGGAAATCTCTCTCTCTCTTTCTCTCTCTCTCATGGACGCACAAACAAGTAGACAATTGGTCGGACCTATTTCGAACTAAAGGGAAAAAATAAACAAACGCCCACCACGCCCACTATAGGCTACTGTCAGCTGAAGACTTCCGGGTCCTCTCCGAGCTTTGACAGAAAGAAGCAAGAACTCCGACAACAACGAAAACATACGACCAAGTTAACTTTTTTGTCAACGCGCACGCATGTACGATTCTCCACCGAGAGTTTGGCGCGCGTTTCGCTTTTTTCGCTTCTAGCATTTTTTTGGCGTAGCTGCTGCTGTTGTCGACTTGCCTCCGGAAGCGCAGCAGCTGTACCACGCCCAGGTACACCGCCAGAGCGGCTAGGCCCCCCGAACCGGTAGCCACGATGCCCGCATCCATCATCGTTGTTCCGTGTGCTCTCTTGTCCAGCAAAGACAACGCGGGGCTCCTCGTTTTGTTCTTCGCTGCCTTTCCTCTAGCTGCTGCTGCTGCTGCTGTACTTGTTGTTCTTGACGGTGGTGTTGCTCTCACCCACCCTCCTCGCGAGCTGCTGCTGCCACACGCACGCACCATTCCGGAGATAATTGCGTGCAAAGTTGGAAAACATGTGGAACACCATTCTTCTACCCGCCGCGTAACCTATGCTTTTTTTTATACGTGCGCAGGCTAAGCCCAACAAGCCATCCATTCAGGCCTTGCGACTGGCAACGGCAGAAGACAGACGCGATACCGGTAGACAAAGAACGGCCTTCGCAGTCTTCGCGGATGGGTATTTTGGTGTCCATACGGTAGAATTGTGCGTGCGACTTCGTCTGATGGTGTCCTCAATAGGAATTCTCATGAACATAGAGCAACAAACACCAGCAAACGATGTCTGTAATAACCACGACGCTGGCAATTGATGCGTAAACACATTATTACCATATCCATTTCTTTGTCGGCGGGACGGCCACGCGAAGCGCGGGGACAAGGCTCAAAAACTGTTGGTAAACCTTGTCCGGAACGGTTTCTAAAATAGCGTGGTGCCACACTTTCCTAGAAAGGGCATCAAGAAATAAATGTTGTCTCACGCAAGAGTCCACAAGATTAGAACGGGTTCAATATTGGGAACTGCTGTCATCCTGTCGACAAGGGTAAATACCATCAAGCGACATAGCACAAGTTTATCCATCCGAGAAAGAGCTGTCCTTGACACGCCAGTCTCAGCAAACCTGTCGGAGATTGGTATCCTTCTAGGCAATGTGCCTGTCAACGAGCATTGGTGGTTTGTGTGGGACTACTGTGGGGTATGTGCGGTACTGGTGTGTCGTGCGGGTATGTGCGGTATACGGTTTTTTCTGCGGGTTTTAGACTCGTCGGGCGCCGGGATAATATGACAATTTCTGGGTACAAAATCAACCTCTTCCGGGTACACTAGTAACCAATATCGGTTACACCAGAGGGTCTGGAGATGCCGCCGGCTACCTGGGGGTACCTGGGGGTGCAGGCGCGTTGATTTCTAAGTGTACCCGAAATTGGTGATAAAGTACCCGGGTATACCCGTTTCTGGTTACTGCTCGGGAACAAATCAAGTACGGACCCCCTCCCAATTAAAAAATAAATAAAAATGCATGGCCTTGCGCGCTCGACGAATGGTGCGCCAGTGTTAGTTTAGCTAGCAGTGTGTCGTGCTGGTAGTTATTAGTGTCGTGCTGGCAGTGTGTCGTGTGGTCGTGCAGCAAGATGCTGCCAGCTAACTTTTCTTGCCCGTGTGTACATGAAAGGGGTTGCGGGAAAGTCGAGGGGGCGCCAATAATCTGGCTGCTCGCATTTACCTGCGGCCATATTTTAAAACCCTGGCCCCCTGCTCCTAGAGCTCGTTGACTGTTAGCGTTGTCTATTTAGCGCTTCTGCACACACCAAACAGATGGAAGTGGGGGAGGATGGTAATTATCGGTTTACCATGCCTTGCGTCGGCGGGGAATGCTTTGCTTGTTGTCGAACGTTGAATGTCCGAATCTTGTTTTGACCGTTTGTTGTCCGGTTTCTTTGGCATCTATCTGTACAATCTTTTGCGAAGTAATGTGGTTGTTTTCTCTGTTTCTTTCTGCTCCTTCAGTTTCTGTGTGCTCTCTGTACCTCGCCCCTCGCCCCTCGCCCGCTTCAAGCAACCTCTTACTGATGTTGGTGGAGTACTGAGTCGAGACGCATGGGGTGAATGGGGGGAACCAACGTACTACTGCTATACGGGGCAAATAAATGTTGTTTGCAACATAAATCAATACATATTTTTCGTTAACGACGTGTCTAAATACTTCAGTGTAAGCCCTGAATGCCAACACTGCCGGTGCACGTTAGTTGCGCGCTACAGCTGCGTAATGAGGGCGCCAAAACGACTATAATGGGTTTCAGGCAAGTGTCAGGCAAGTTTTCAGGCAGGTTGCCTGATTCAAATCAGGCATTTCAGGCAACCAATCAGGCATTTCAGGCAAAAACCTGGTGTCAGGCAAACGCCTGAAATTTTGCCTGAGCCCAAATTTTTCGCATGCGGCGGGCTGTTTAGCACATGCCTGAAGCACGCCTTCGGCGTGCCTGATAAGGCTAAGCTTACGGGCCCCGTCCTCACTCTCTCCGAGTGGGCGCTGAGCGGACCTGGTCTAAAAAGGCTAAAACAAGAGATCAAACAACAACTGTGAGTACCCGAAGCTAGGAGCAACGGACTTACTTCCTTTCCCTTTTTATTTCTGTGTTCCATATTATTGTTACATATTCTACACCTTCGCACGTTGTTGGTGTTATATCGCCAACGAATTGGGGTAGCTATTAAGATACAGCGGTAGTGTTGATTTCATACCGAACGACGACTTTTGTTGTCGTGAATTGTGGGCAATGGGTCTCGGATCAGCGGGCAGCCCCAACGATACACTCTACTGCTGTGTATGTATGTTGTTCTGCTGTCTGTGATGTCGATGGAGACCACCAACTGCTGTCACTTGGGCGTACGAAAGCAGGGCTCCACGAGTGGTTCTGTACCGCTTTTTCTGACGGTCTCGACACCGCCACAACAACAACAGCGAAACGAGGGCAAAACGTCAAATCTGCGCACTGGCCTTTCCTCTACCAACGCTCGCTCGTGTAAGTACTATGCAACGTCTTTTCCTACAGCGAAAAAACAACAGAGTTTTATCAACCTGACTTTTTATTGCACCGCAGGGGGGACTGTCGGATAAACGCGAGAGCTTACCTATTACCTATTGCACCTGCGTGTGTGTGCACACCTTTTGCCAAAATGTTTCTTTCCGTGTTGGATCCACCAGAGCAATACCTGGTTCCGAGTGTGACGGGGAACGCGGCGATAATCTATCCGAGGGGTTCGTTACGGGTCTGTGCAGGACTGTCTTCAAGCTCTCCACCGATTTTGTAAGAGGCCACGAGCCAGAAGACCTCGTCTAGACAACCATTAGCTCCCATTCTGTTCTATCTGCTCTTCTGCGGGGCGTCCACGAGATCATGCGCTTGAGAGGGTTTGATTCTTCGAGAGGACCCTACCTCAGCTCTTTCCCGCCTCTTGGGGCAGTGCTGCACCATACGCCAACACGCCGTTTTCTGTCAACACCGCTACAAGGGGAGATTGCGACTCTATTCTGGCTGGCGGTGCGGTAAAACGAAAAACCTCAATAAAAATCCGTAAATTAACCGCATCGGAGACTTCAACCCAACGAGCCAACCCCAGCACCACAATGTACATAACGTCAACCCAGCCCTCACCGCTACGGTGCAGCTCGTTCGCTCACGTCTCCGCCGCTTACTCTTCCTACCTTCGGCGGTTGGTCTGGTTGGGTGCTGCTGCTCCACGGATCCTACATCCCCTGTCCCCTGTCTCCTCCGGATCGCTGGCTCCTCATTGGTCAGATCGCGGCACTTTTGACAGTCCCGCTGAAGGCTCTGCCACAGATGAGCATACGCTCAACTCCGATTAGCACCAAGCGGAAACGCGAAACACCCAAGCACACGTACATGAGGTTGACAGCCAGGCGGACGTTTTAGAGGCAAACATTGCGGCATTGACAGAAGAACTACGAGGTGAGTTTCATGAGCTCGACACCGCAGTCGTATTAACCCTTTTGGGTCTACAGGCGTCCTCTGACAGATCGTTGATTGATCATTTGTACATGCTGGTGTTGTGACATGCCATGGAGTTGCTGCCCTGTATCCCTCCACGCCAGGTGTTGGCAAATCAATAGGTAGGTGTGTCTATATTATTCGCATCGGCGTACCCGGTGACCAATGAAAATACGTTAGTGCCAGCGGGTAATATCAAGGTCGCTGGAACGGCCAAAATTCGAAAAATGCACACTGCTCTAAATGAGAATGCCACCATGAATCTCTCCCCATATCCTTTCACAGAGACACACACCAATAACTCCGCATACATACATGCATCTAGTAAGCAACACAAAGACAGGAGGACATCAAAAAGGAGCACTTCAAGCCCAACCAGGCCATGATATCGTGGTATGCTGCATGTCCTCCAAATTTGAAAATCGTACACTCCCAAGATCCAGCAGTCACCATGTCAGCAGCTATACTACACAGCAGCAGCAGTATATGTAGACGAGTCCAACATACGGCAGTACTGTAGTAACATATACACTATGCTGGGGTGTTCCACGGTTTCCACATGGAGGACCCCTTGGCTCTCATTGATCATTTTCACTGATCATTTAAATATACTGAAAATAGAAAAGTTTGGGTGGCTTGACGACTGATCTTGTCGAGATCTACAAGCCCAACCTGCCCCAGCGGCCGCACCGCGACCACGCACCAACCCTTCTATGACCCTGTCTGTGCCCACCGTCCTGTCGCGGGCAGCCCTCATGGCCTATGGGTGGAGATAGCTGTTGCGTCTACAGAAGTACTCTCGTCTCTTTCTGCTGTACTTCTGTCTCTCTCCCCGCACTCTTCCTTCTTCCCCTCGCTGCCTCGGCAAGGCTTTTGCTTAGGCATGGCCCATAGCGAGGGGGGGGGTCTTTCTAGCGAGCATGGCTAGACTTACCCTCAAGGGACCGATACCTTCTTGCTGCGGCGCACCCGCCGCGAGGCGTGCGTAGTGGTAGAGTTGGGTCGGCACTGGTGCGTCAGGTACAAAAATGCAGATGCGCGGACCTCATGGCCGTCGGTGTAGACAGCAATGTCCATCTCAGTTTTGTGCGCGGAGGCGACGCCATCAGAAAGGTGGACGGGCACTATGTACACGGCCCTAGGTTTGCTAGAGGGAGCTGTACTGTCTCAGTAACCTGGCTTCGCCATCAAAGGGGAGGAGGGAACAGGTGGTGACGAGCTGAGTGGGCTGGTTGACCCTTCGGCGCGAGAATTTTCAGACCAAGAACCCTGAGTGCAACGAGGGAGAAAGCGAGGAGCCGCTGCCCAGGGGCGGGATTCCCGCGAAGCTGATCAAAGTCATCCGCCAATTCCACGATGGAATGCGGGCCCGGGTGCGCATGGACGACGGAGAACTATCGGACTGGTTCTTCGTCACACAGGGCGTGCGACAAGGATGTGTGCTATCCTCACCGCTGTTCAACATAGTCTTCTTTAACCCACACACGGCATGGCGGGGTATATCGTACTCCCCCTCGCTCGCCCCCCCAGCGCGCGCCTCGGCACAACAGTGGCCGCTAACTTGTCGCCAAGAATCAAATGGGAAGAAACAACAACAAGATTAGAGTCCCCGACTTTGAGAAAACATGGCGGTAAACGTGTAAAAAAGTGATAGAGCGCCGTGGGCGTTGGTTGTGCTGCGTTAGCTGAGAAAAGGCTTCTCAGCTGCACCCCTTCCCGTGAGGGATGCTTGTTCAAGGGTAACAAAAATCTCAACATCAAGGCAGACCCTCACGTGCATTAATCGCAGACGGGTGCGTGTTTGCGAAAGGCTGACCCGTTAGACTGTTCTGTCCGGTGACTGAGTAGTCTAACGGGTGTAGCTCACGATTAGTATGCCATCTGCAACAATGAATCGCGCGGACGAATACCAAAGAAAAGCCCTTGCCGAACACACGACACGCCGCAAGACAAGACTCTCTGTTTCACACACCTGGTTGTACCGCCCCCCGGCGTCCCGGCTGTGTCTCCCCCCCGACATTTTCGCGTTTCGGCCGCGCCTGTCCGCTCGGTAGTCCTTTGTCGGAGTACCGGCCAGCTGTCTGATGGTCGGCAAGACCTGAGCGATGTTCGCGAGTGTGCGAATACATACACAGCCCACAAAAACAAAAAAAGGAACTTGTCATGAAAGAAAGAAAGGCTGTAGGTAGGGGCACGCTGGCATGTGGCACGTTCAAAGTCGTATCTGTGGCACCGAATTGGGGGTCGAGTATGAGTTTTTTTTCAGTACATGCGTAGGGGGGAGGGGGGGCTACGCGGTTTCATCGTGTGTGCAAAGGGCATGACTAACAACCGTGACCGAACAACCTGCCTGTACATCCCAACGGGTTCGTGCAGGGAAAAAAGTGTCTAGTTGATGCGGAGAGTAGACAGGAGTTGCAATGCACAGCAATGCAATTGTACGTCCTTGGTGCATCGACGTCAACACGTGCGAGGGTGCTGTCGGCAGCAGCAGCGAAAAAGAAAGGATTGTGAAGTGGGTTATCAAGAAATGGCCAAACACCGGTCGTTTCTCAAAATCGATCGACGCCTTTCTGCAACCAAGTTTTGAAAACGTGCACCATCCCTTTTCTGCCCAAGCAAATCTGAGTCTCTGACCATTCAGAACGCACGCCTGCCTCACTGCTGTAGCTCCCGGTTTCTAACAGATACAGGGTGTTTGGCTCAAGTTTTGCTCAACGTGCCGTCCGTACTTCCATCTAGAAAAAATCCTGAACCAAAACCTCAAGATTCACGGAACGGTCAGCAAGCCTGCCTGCTTCTTCGACTTACGTCCCGCTTCATCCACTCGCACTTGCACTCTCCGGCCGAGCCCGCGTTGAGCTTCAAGCTCGCCCTCCCAACCTGTTTCAGTTCAATTTCGGGGAACGACGGAGGGGGGGAGGGGGGTCGGATGGGTGGGTGGGTGGGTGAGGGTGTACTCATAGCCGTGCATGCCGTATTCGCTAAATAGAACATTGCAAAGCCGGGACGAAAGTACGTCGGGTTTTCACCGGACCAGGCTATCGCATCACCGAGGGGGGGGTCGGCGTTTTGCATGCCCTAGTTGTTAGGCCATTGGAACACGCGTCCTCGAGAGGACGGAGCAGGGAGGGGGAAGGAGGAGCGTGTTGTGGCAGAAACTGTCTCGAAAACACTCTTTTGTTAGAAGGGACATTTTGTATGTACACACATACATATGTCGATTTGACTCTTTTTTTTTCGAAACGAAGTGGTGAGCCCTTGGGGAGTTGCGTCGGCGGAGGCGTTCTCGACCTTCCGTGGTGGTTCCCTGGAGGACTGAGAAGGTTAGCGTGTGTGGAATACAAGCATAGCCTAGGTTGAATGTTCTGATTCATCAACTGAGACGATAACAACTTGCAGCGGCGTCCTTGTGGCAAGAAAACACCAACGCCCCAACACTTCGTATGAAAGGACAGAAAAAAACAGAGACCGGGACCACGGCAACGGCAACGGCAACGACAAGGACGAACACCGAGGCAACGGCGACGAAAAGAATGACCATAAGAAAAGTTCCAGGTATGTTATATGGCAAGAACGACGGCGGCACCACCAGCACCAACAAAAGCAACAACGGCAAAAATCACAACCACCACCATCATCAACAAAAACAACAACAACAACAACAACAACAATAATAACAACAGCAATGACAACAAGCACACCACCCATCACCACCACCACCACCACCAACAGCCACACACATACATACATGTGCCACCAACACCAACGAAAGCAGCAGCTGCAACCCCGCCGTGCCGTACCTCTTGGGCGCTAGCGGAGAAGAAGTCGACGTTCCACACGCTCGCGGCTCCCCCGCACGCCGCCGCGGCAGCAATCCCTCCAGTGTACAATTGTAGCTGGACAATAACAACGGGGGGGATGAAGATTTGTTCGGAAAGGAGCACCGTTTCAGACACAACGTCCGCCCCCGCCACAAACTAAAAAAAAAAACTTCGACTGCTATGGTACGTACACCATTTCGAAAAAAAGGGCAATCTCTCTATGATTGTAAGTATATTCTCTAAAAAAGAAGGACGAAGAAACAGCACCACCGGGAGTCTCCGTTATATGTACAAGGAAAAAGAAAAAAACTTCACGATCGCCGCTGGTACCTACCCCCAACAAGTACAGCGTCACACCCGCAGGTCATACAATACCTGAACAGATTGAGCACCTCCCTCCATGCCGTCGCTGTTGTTCAGCACCCACTTCCTGGCCGCCCTGAGGTCGAGGAAGAGCCAGGGGTCTATCCCGCGGTGCCTCGCGGCAAGAGGGTACCGCACCCCGTTCTCCAGGCCTACCTGCATTCATTTTCGGTTCAGGAACAAACGAACAACAACAAACAATTGGAAGAATAGAATAAAAAAATGTCGACGGAGCGGTGCGCGTGTGGTGTGGGGCTGGGAAACGAAGAATGAAGACGCCTGCCGCGTCTCTTCTCTCGACATTAGGCCTACCTGCGTTCATTTTTGGTTAAGGAAAATAAAACAAACACAAACGCGGGCGCTGCATGTATGTGGTGTGCGGGCCAGAAAAGAACAAACAACATGCTCGCCGCGCCTCGTCGCCAGGCCTGTCTGTACATACCCGTGTGGGTTCATTTTCGGTCTACATGTATTGCTGGAGAAAAAAAATAACTAGGAGACCATCGAAGAAAAAAAAATCAACATATAGGAAATAAACCACGTGCGTTTTCGTTTGCTTGGAGTGAGAACTGTTTTGGGGGCGATGCATGTGGGATAGCATGCAGCAGCAGCGAGGCACCGACAAGCGCTCCCGGTGCAATACATATTTCGAGAACAAGAGACACTCGGTCGATTGCAAAGAACCATGTATATACCCTAAATTCTCGAACCTTCCATAGAACAATTCCTTCGTAGTCCAATGGTTAGGATATATCGCTCTCACCGATGAGACCCGGGTTCAATTCCCGGCGAGGGAGTTTCTTTTTCCAATTTTGAAGTTAGCTTTTTCTTTTTCCTCACCTGCTCTCACGATTTTTTAAGCCGTTAAACGGCCATGCTATTTGCTCCACCGGTGGAGTAAGTTCTTATTTGCTCCACCAGGCAGATCTCCACCCACAGAGCTCCAATCGACCTCAAACTAATTGCATCGTGTAGGTAGGACTACAGCTTCTGCAATGCTACTTACAAGCTAAATCCGACCGGGGGCTGCAGAGTTATGCTGAAAAAGGAGGTTCCGCAGCATGTCAGGAAGCAGTAATCGTCTCGAACCTCCGTCCACACCGCTCCAATTGACCTCAAATCTTTTGCATCGTGTCTGCACGGTCCATGACGTTCTTCTAAGCTATCAGACACTCACATCCGATATATTCCCGCAGAGATATGGTCAACCGAGGGGGTTCCGCAGTATCTAGGGGGGGGGTAACCGGCAATAGTCCCGCTATACCTCCCGTCACATAGTTGAACCACGCCTAACTCGGCCCGCATCGTGTTGGCAAGGCTCACAGCTATCATTCAACCCATCCTCCACCCCAATCGGACCAGTGGGTACAGAGAAACGCCCCCACGCGGGGGCTCAGTGGCTCAAGGGCCGGTGGAGCTGCTCCACCAGGCCAACTCTTCGTTAAGGGTACTGCTGTTTGTCCTACTACGGCTTGTATTGTGTCGGCACGGCTCACAGCTATCATTCAAGCCATCGGATACCCCGATCGGACCAGTGGGTGCAGAGAAACGCCCACCCACGGGGGCTCAGGGACTCAAGGGCCGATGGAGCAGATAAGCTTAACTACTCCACCAGGCCAAACTCTATCTACCGGGCGCTGTTTGTCTTACGAAGACTTGCCTTGTGTTGGCCCGGCTCACAGCTATCATACAAGCCATCGGACATCCCGATCGAACCAGTGGGTACAGAGAAACACCCACCCACGGGGGTTCAGTGACTCAAGGGCCGGTGGAGCAGAAAAGCTTAACTGCTCCACCAGGCCACACTCTATCTACACCGGGCGCTGTTTGTCTTACGAAGACTTTCATTGTGTTGGCCCGGCCCACAACTATCATACAAGCCATCGGGCACCCCAATGGGACCAGTGGGTGGAGGGAAACGCCCACCCATGGGGACTCATCGCTCAAAGGCCGGTGGAGCAGATATGTGGCCTCTGAGCCATTTCCTCGTCACATTCACTGTATCCTTTAGTCACATTCACTGTATTCCCTCATCACATACTACGCTGTCATGGGATACACTGTATTCCCAGATCACACACGCTGTATTCGCTGAGGGGATACACTGTATTCCCTCGTCAGATACACTGTATTCCCTGAGCAGATTCGCTGTACTCCCTCATCACATACCATGTTTCCCTAATCAGATTCACTTCATTCCCTTACCAGAATCGCCGTATTCCCTCGTCAGATACATTGTATTCCCTGATCAGATACGCTGTATTCTCAGAGCAGGTACACGATATTCCCTCGTCAGATAAACTGTATTCCCATAGCAGATTCATTGTGTTCCCTCATCAGATACACTGTATTCCTTCATCAGATTCACTGCATTCCACGGCGTGCACATCTGATGAGGGATACATTGAATCTGGTTAGGGAATACAGTGAAAAGTACAAGGAATAAGGTAGTGTATTTGAAGAGGGAATACGGGGATCCTGACCAGGGAAAACAGTGTAGTTGATGAGGGAATGCAGTGAAACGAACGAGGCAATACGGTGTATCTGATGAGGGAACACATGATATATACTCAGGGAATACAGTGAAAAGTACGACGAGCACTGTGTATCGGATAAGGAAATACAATGATCCTGACCAGGGAATACAATGCATTTGGTGATGGAATACAGTGAAACAAGCGAGGGAATACGGTGTATCTGATGAGGGAATACAGTGAATCTGCTCAGGGAATACAGTGTTGAGCGTATCTGATCAACAAATACATTGTATGTGTCCAGGAAATACAGTGTATACTACATACAGAGCACTTCACCGTCCGAACACGGCGCCAAGAGGTGTCCGTGAGCAGAGAGGAATACCGGCAATGGAGGTGGGGTGGCCGTTGTTGACGGAGAGTGCCGTTAGTTGAGGGGGAGTGCCCCAAACCACCAGGAGGGGGGCGTTATTGGGGGGGTGCCCGTTAGTCGGGGTGGGTGGGGAGGAGTGCCCGTTAGCCCGGAGGGGAGCCCGTTTGAGAAAATTTCCCATATCCAGGGGGTGCCCCTATCCTGTCACAGTCTTCGTACGACGATCAGCGCCCGGTGTAGATAGAGTTTGGCCTGGTGGAGCAGTTAAGCTCCACCGGCCCTTGAGCCGCTGACCCCCCGTGGGTTGTTCGTATGTGTGCATATGTAGGAAGGATCTGAGGACGGTTCTGTGTTCCGTAGATGAAGGGACCTGCTGTGGTACTTGTTGTGGTAGACTTGGATGAGTCTGCGGCGCCCCCATGATGCGTCAGCCTGTGTGGGGCACTCTCTCTCCCCCCTGTCTGTCGTGCGTTTGTCCTGCGGATCTAATACAAGCTATCAACGAGACTTTCTAGTCACTGGACACAAATACGGGCATACCCGGCAAGCACTCCGGCTCTAGGAGTGATCAACACTCTAGAGTTCTTTATTTCTCCATCGTCCTTGCAAGGAAACGAAAGAGCCCGTGCCAGCAACATGTCGGGAGGAGTCTCGCAGCAGGAGCTCGCCGCTAAACTCGGAGATGTTAAGCGGGCGTTGACAGAACGCTTTGAGGAGAAGCAGAACAGGGCCGAGGCGAGGATGGAGCAGCCACTCGGTAGCTTCGAGGGACTTTTGCTCCAGCAGCCCACGCGAGACGGAGGAAGAGGAGGGTCACACGGCGCCGTGGTGGACGGGGGCGCCGTGGGGGGTGCGGTTGGAATCCTAGGGGGAACCGGGAGGGTTTCCACCGCAGGGAACCTACCCGAGACTGTGGGCCCTGGTGCTCGGGACAGCGGCGGCGTCAGCGGTGGAGTAGCGGGCGGCGCAACACACGAGCCTGTTGATCGCGGGAAAAGTACTCGCTCCGAGAGAGCTGGAGTATTGCATTCATGGCGATTCTGGTGGATGTCGACTTGTCGCAAAGGAGCAAAACCGCGCAATACTGCTTTGCTTTTGAACGAGGCCCAACAACAGCGCGGCATTGCCGCGGACACTTCATTCTGGTTGATTCGTGAGTGATTTCTTGAATGATCTTGCTTGTGACGAATGATACTGAAAGTTTCTAAAGGGGATTCGCAGTTCAGGCGTTTCTATTTCTGATTTGGTGTTCGTAGAGCGTCTGTAGTTTCGCTTACGATTAGACAGCCAATGATGTTTTCGAAAGGGGATTCGCGGTTCGTGCGTTTCCATTCTTGAGTGTGAGTGTTTTGTTGAGCAACAACTGTAGTTCGTCTTCATTCGATGACATACCCGAGCGTTTATAGCGGTCATATTCTCGCAAGATGAGCTAGATGTTGCGTGCGAAGCCTTGTAAGGGAACCCATGATACCCAGCCCCAACACTCCACGCTCCCAGATGTAGGGGGGCGACGTGAGTTCTTAAAATTGTGCTTTCCAGATGTAGGGGAAGGTACTGACACTGACACGCACCCCCAGTCGAAGGGGGGGTAGCGCAAAAAACATTCGAAGATGTGCTCTCCAGATGTAGGGGAGGGTACTAACACGCACCCCCAGATGTAGGGGGGGTAGCGTAAATATCTCACAGGTGTTCTCACCAGAAAAAAAGGGGGAGGGCATCAGTATACGCCCTCCAGATGTAGGGGAGGGACGTACAGCAGTGGTTACACAACAGCGCGCCTCCAGATGTAGGGTGGGCAGCGCCAGCCGATGCACCCCAGACGTGGGGGGCAGTAGTTCCTTACCCGTGCACCTCCATATGTAGAGAGGGCAGCACGGGCCAACGCTCTCCAGATGTAGGGGAGGGCAACGTTTCTTCACCGGCACGCCTCCAGATGTAGGGGGGGCAACGCGGGATAACGCTCTCCAGATGTAGGGGAGGGCAGAAGTTCTTCACCCGCGCGCCCCCAGATGTAGGGGGGCGGCGCGGGTGTACGCTCTCCAGATGCAGGGGAGGGCAACATTTCTTCACCGGCACGCCTCCAGATGTAGGGGGGGCGACGCGGGTCAACGCTCTCCAGACGTAGGGGAGGGCAACTTTTCTTCACCGGCACGCCTCCAGATGTAGGGGGGGCAACGCGGGTCAACGCTCTCCAGATGTAGGGGAGGGCAGCATTTTCTTCACCTCCGCGCCTCCAGATGAAGGGGGGGCAGCGCAGGGCTTTTCGGTTGGACGGTTCTCCAGATGAAGGGGGGAGCTGCACAGCAGTCATCACAGATCTCCGCCAACGCGCTTCCAGATGTAGGGGGGGCAGCGTGGGCATTTGTCGTTGTAGTCGGCGCGCTTACCAGGGTGGTGAGCAGCAGCAGGTTTTTTCTTGCCGGTGGTTGGGAGGAGCCGGAGTCCGCTTGGCAATGGAGAGAAGACCCCCGCCAAGACCGACAATCCGGTTGGTACCTGTAGCAGAGAATACTGGTAGCAATTTGAGTTTTCTTGGCAGAGAATACTGGTAGCAATTTGAGTTTTTTTGTGTGTAGTCGCACAATATGGGAGGGCATCCATTGTGGCGTTAACCCGATGTTAGTGAACGCGCATGCCTCTGACGACATCCCCTCAACAGTCGCTACCGTGTTTGGACCGTATCAACGTCGTTCCTTGGTGTTCGAATTGTAGGCCAGATGTCAAGGGGGAGCACAGCTGTGTTCAGCTAACGTTGGTTTAGTTATATGTTTGTTTTTTCCCTTAAAATGTTGAGATGATCATCCGAACCATCGATGTAGTTTGGTCCGCTTGGTATGTCGCCATGTAGGGGAATTGAAGTAGTTCATATGCCAACGTAGCGCTGTAATTGGCCTTCGTTTGTAGGGAATTGAAGTAGTTGAGATGACAACGATGATGGTTTTATTTCGGTAGTCGTGGAATTATTGCGAGCGTTTTTGGCTCGGAGGCCGGGTTTTCCCTCGCAACGCCTTTTTTTTTTCTGTTTGATTTTTCGGTAGTGTCCGAGTACGTTGAACAACACACGGTGGTGGTTAATTACTAGCGTAAGGAACCAGGGAGGGTGCTCGTGTGTGTGCATATGTAGGAAGGATCTGAGGACGGTTCTGTGTTCCGTAGATGAAGGGACCTGCTGTGGTACCTGTTGTGGTAGACTTGGATGAGTCTGCGGCGCCCCCATGATGCGTCAGCCTGTGTGGGGCACTCTCTCTCCCCCCTGTCTGTCGTGCGTTTGTCCTGCGGATCTAATACAAGCTATCAACGAGACTTTCTAGTCACTGGACACAAATACGGGCATACCCGGCAAGCACTCCGGCTCTAGGAGTGATCAACATGGGTTGGCGTTTCTCTGCACCCACTGGTCCGATTGGGGTGTCCGATGGCTTGTATGATAGTTGTGGGCCGGGCCAACACAATGGAAGTCTTCGTAAGACAAACAGCACCTGGTAGATAGAGTTTGGCCTGGTGGAGCAGTTAAGCGTATCTGCTCCACCGGCCCTTGAGTCACTGCGTTCCCATGGTTGGGCGTTTCCCTCCACCCACTGGTCCCATTGGGGTGTCCGGTGGCTTGAATGATAGTTGTGAGCCGTGCCGACACAAAACAAGCCGTAGTAGGACAAACGATGCGGATAGCCGCCCTGCCCTCGCGGCGATCCGGCGTACGAGCGGTTGTCCGCAGGTTGACCGAACTGCTCAGCGTCGTCGTGCTGCGGCCAGTGGGCATGGCGAAGGCCGAGTAGTAGCTGGTGTACATTGATGCGCTCAAACGGGGTAATGGAGTTAGTTGAGAAAGTGCGGGTCAAGGAGGTCTCCAAATTGAACATGTTGCACATGCCTATCGTGGAAAAACGGTTCTGCAAACCTTCGACACGAATGCCATGCTGCCACAGCATCAACCCGATGGGTCGAGCTAAAAGGGAGGTGAGTTGCACGCGTGTCAACAGTAAGCGAGAGAATAACATGATGGCCATCTTGTTCCACACAATCCGGTACAGCGATGGAGATTCCCTCCCCAGCGGCGGTCCCCGAAGCTCCCGCCAGCGTTACGGAAAAAGTAGGCGATGGCGAACCTCCCGCACGCACCGAGTCCATAGGCGCACGACGAGAAGCGGATGGCGTTGGCTCCGGGAACTCACCTTTCACCAGCCTAATGACGGGCCAAGAACGCCTGGGAACGACGCTTCCTCTCCGCCCGAGCCGCAGCTTCGGCCTCCTCTTCCCTCCCGTTTACGCTGTAGATCCTTCTCCAGCTTGGTGTTGTGAGAAACTACATGCTGTTCCCACAACGTGTACTGGGCATTACTCATGTTTTCGATGTCAGCATCCAGGAGGAGGAGATCGTCAGGCATCGAGGGCTGTGCAGGCAACACGGAGGGGTCATAACCAGTGGCAGCAGCAGGAACAGCAGACTCCGAGTACGCCGGAAAACGGTGGGCGCCGTCGACTCCAACGGAAACTCCAGCGGAAACTCCAGGAAAGTGTTCTCCCCGAGGCGGCAAAGCACCTACGACGCCATCAGCTCTATAACCAGTGCCAGTCGCTCCAGCAGACTCCGAATGCACCAACCTTCCAGCAGATCCAGCAGTCTCCGAAGACAACAAAGGCCTATCAGCTCCCACAGCTCCAGCGGAAACTCCAGCAGCACGAGCAACTCCAAATCCAGAAGCAGCAAAGAACACCTGCAGCCGCCGAGGTACCCCGGGCCCCAGCCGTCACTCTACCTGAGTCCTTAGACTGCTGAACAGCAGTAGCCGGTACTTTCATCTTCGACATCAAAAGGTCGCCTCCGACACTCACGTCAGCTGCAGCAGATTCCGCGGGCAACAAAGTGCCTGTATCCTCAGGAACATGCAAAGCGGCATCCAAATGCAACAAATCGTCAGCAGCAGCAACAGTACGCCGATGCCGAGCGAAAAGGGCCAACTGCCGTTCATGTTCGGCCTCTTCTGCCTCTTCTTGTACCACCAGATCTGCCCAAAATAAACGAGTGTCCTCTTCGGAGAGGGATCCTTCCTGTTCTTCAGCTTGCATCTAATTCTCACACTCCATACCAGCAGGTTCACTAGAAGAGCTATCATAGTCGGCGGTAGGGATAGCAGAAGTACCCCCCATCGCAGGAGAGGGCAGCGGCGCAAAAGCAACACGCAGATACCCACATGGCAACATGCGGCCAGCGATAAAAGCTTGATGAGCCGGCAATTTGAGCGGAGCCAACCAAGTAGAAAAGGCATTCAAAATGTCCTTGTTCCACAACCACGCGGACGTGGACGCCAGCACGAAAAATGTCCTTGTTTTGTTGGATCGGTGTCTGTCTTGGTACACTCTGTGCGAAAACAATCTGAGAACGAAACATTTTTTTTACGACTTTTTTTTACAATTTAGACTATATGCACCCAAATGGACGCATAATATAAGCCATGCACCCACACCTTTCACCGACGGAAATCCTGTGTGAGGAACGAGCTTCACGAACAATGTATCCGTTTCTTCCACTTGTCGCTCTACTAACCGGCGCAGTGTCTGTTGGATGTACTCACAGCATTGACAGATTATTGCAACCGAGGAATGTTCCTAGAAGATGGAGCGGGGAATTTTGGGGGTTCCGCAGTTGTAATAAATTGGGCGAATGGTGGTACCATCTTTGCCACATATTCTTGTTTTCTGGGTATGCGTGTCTGCAACGGTGTTGGCCACGTGCCCTTGATTAATTCATCTTCCTTTTTTCCCGGCTATCACGCCCTGGGCTATCACGCCCGTGCCCATACTACCTATCCACCAGCTATCACGCTGCCAGGCTTTCACGCCTCTAGGCTATCACGCCATCACAACAGCTATCACAGCACCAGCGTCAACACATCAGAGCTATCACGCTCCGGAACATCATAGATGCGGCGGGTTACCACACCCGTGGGCAGTTTACTGTATTTTATCGTTGCCGGCAAACTCGCCGCGCGGTTCTTTTATTTTTGCCGTCTACAACTGCGCCGGGCGCACCAAGCCACCCAACACGCTAGCGTAATAGATCAAGAAAGTGGCTGCTGTGTCTGCGCGAATAAGACGGCTGGAGGAGATGGACGAAGACCTCCGCGGGGACCAGGGACTAGTTCCTCTCCCCACGGGGAAGACAACGGGGGGGAAGGACGAGGTTCGTTGAACCTCCCCGATGTGGACCAGCAGGGAGGAACGAAAGCAGCCGCGGATGGAGGGGAACAAGATCCAACTATCGCCCTTGTCGACCTCCTCCGCCGGGTTGCCAACTTCGCCTCCCAGACTCCGGGACATGACGTCCGCTCAGGCACGTCAAGTTCCCAGCCCATAGAGTTGAAGCTGAGAGAGAGAGTCGAAGTACCTGAGTGGAATGATGCTTTCTTGAAGGATCGAAGTGTGACTGTCGCGTTCCGAATTTTTACGAGTTGTTTCTCAGGGTGGATGGATGCAGAGGGTCTTGAAGAGATCATGAGAGGAGAAGAGATTCCTGTGGGTTCGTTGCACGTCGATAAGACTTGGTTGCGGCAGAGGTATGGCGATGAAAGTGTTCGAAAGGCCACGAGAGTCTGGATGTGCTTGATCACGAAAATCAACGTTCAACCTATACTAGACCAGATACTAGCTTCAGAGAGTCCACAAGCAGGGTGGAGAGTGTTTCAGTCCTACTACACTACAAGCAGGACGCATGAGAGATAAATCCTGGACGGCACTTGGAACTGCCTTAGGCAGAAGCATGGAGAGACTCTGGTCGACTACTGGGGAAGAGCGAATACTGTGTGGATGCAATTACAGTCTTGTGGGGACAATCGAGAGGAGACGTTAATGTCGAGACACTTTGCACGTGGCTTGCTCCCAATGTACGACGATGTCAAAGACCGTATTCTGTTCCACCCCATGCTTTCGAGAGGTACTCTGGAAGAGACGCTGAGGCTGGTCGAGCACGAGCAGAGGATCAAACGGAGGTCTGGGGAGGGGATCGAGGACACGAGGCATGCGCCCGTCGCTGCCGGCGCGGGCCGGGACGGCGGCATGAGGAGAGCAGCTGCTGCGGGAGCGGATGGCGGACCATCTCATGAGCAGAGAGGTGCCTTCTTCTGCCAGGTTCACGGAGCGAACTCCTCCCACAACACCCCGGACTGCCATAAACTTCGCAAGGACTTCTTGTTCCACTACAACGACTTCATGGCGTTCATTCGCGAGAGGGACGGTATGCGGGGACCAGGTTTTCCTCAGGCCGGGGGGCAAGAATCGGGGCGCTTGTCGGGCGGATCATATCGAGAGCAGCTGCACCAACTCGACCAAGGGGCAAGCTGGGGTCGGGGCCGCGCGTTCTGTCCCCGTTCTGCAGGGCCCGACGCTGATGAGCAGCGAGTCTTCAACGAGGCCTTTAGCACCGCTACTCAGCCGGCGACTCAGCAGCAGCAGCAGCAGCAGCAGCAGTACATCGGCGCTAATCCAACGACCTCTGCCTCCTCGACCGCGACCCCCTCTCCACCTCCGGGCGACATTCCTCCAGCAAGTGGCGCCCCTCTTCGTCTCTTCCTCACACGTAGTGTGAATTCTCTAGGCGAGTCTGATTCTGTGTCTGGAAATGAGGTTAGAGTTGTTAGTGATGGGGAGGTGTCTGGTGTTCCCGTTGCTGGTATGTCTGTGCCTGATGTTCCTGTGGTTCCTGTCGTGAAGCCTGCTGTGACCTTTCAAGCCCCGGTATGGCACACTAGGATGTCAACACCCAAAGGTGGTGAGCAGTTGCAGGGAGACTCGGGGGCGAGTGCGGGGATGTTTGATGCGAGGGAAGGTGTTGCGTCTAAGTGTGATGTGGATGTGTTGGGTCGTGCCGAACAAATGGATGTTGACGTTTTCCACCACCGCGCTGGCTAC